TACATGTGTATATCTTGGTAACCGCTGCATCAATTTATTCCAAACTTGGCACAGTTGTTGGCCCTGGTACAGCATAGCAAATGGCCGAAAAGTTTTAAAATCGGACGATAACCACGCCCACATCCCATATAACGGTAATTTCGAGAAATACGAAATCCTCGATAAATCAGTAATTATTAAAGCTAATTTATTCAAAATGATGGTTGCAACAATTCTTTGCCAGGAAATACGTTTATGATACATATATTTATCTCGTTAACCGTTCTAGTAATTTTTACCAAACTCGGTATGGTTATTGTGCTTGCCACATAAAAGCAAACCGTTGAAAATTGTTGAAATAGGACTAAAATTACGGCCGATTTTCATATAACGGTAAATTTCAGAAATGCTTGAAATTGCAATATTTCGAAATTTAAGGATGCTAGTTTACTTAAAATTTATACACCCGCTTATCATGTAGCGGTAGCTTTCGGAAAGGTGGAAAACATATATTTAATACTTGCGCCGGGTATTTAATGTTCGGCTCCGCCCGAACTTAGACTTTCTTACTTGTTTAAATATTAATTAGTCATTTTTTGATGTCTCTGCGTCCATTACAGTCTAATTTCAGCCCACTGTGCGGCTGTCTACTCTGCATTTAATTTCAACTAATTTAAAATGTATTTGGCTTGAAGCACTTCAAAGTCAGTATGTTTCTTTTTCAGATGTCTTTTCATGCTGAAATAGTTAATTGCCCAGAGTTAGATGATATTTCAACTAATATTTAATTATTTGCAAAGATATGTATCAAAAGTGTAAGCATTTGGTTTATCTCAATTAGGCTGCTGGGTGATTATATATCAATTTGAAGTTAGTTGTTACATAAGTGGAAATGAATTAATTTTTCTGAGGTAATTGGTTGAGCTATGCCGTACTCAAATACATGCGTGCTAAATTTTTAAACGGCAATAAAATGTAAACTATTAATTTTTATACATTATTTCCCTCACTGTATGAATGGGCAGCCATTTATATTTATATCTTCCACACAACGAAGGTGTGTCTTAAAAAGATTATATATTCTGATGTCCAAGTCCTATGCTTAGCAAAATAGATTCATTCGAGGGCCAATAAAAATATCTAGTAGATGACTGTTTTTTTGTTTTATCAGACACTTACAACAGGCGAGCAAAGTAAAAATGTAGCAAAAGAAAATATCGTTTAATGTTTACCTGTAACTTTTTTACATTCATCAACAGTCGGTTATCTAATTTAAAGAACATCAAAATTTAAACATTATGTTTACTATTTTAGGAGCTATTGTTATTTGAGCTTGAGCTTTCTTTGTAAAGTTTCTTATGGTTTGTGAAAATAAACTATTCATCATTGAAAAAGGTTGTAAATAATGTTTATCGCGCCATAATTCAAAAAACGCGAACTATTTTAGGCCTAGGAACTAATTTTATTGTGCGAATGATTTTTTGTGCTTTTTTCTTACATACAAGAGTTTAGTCTTGAAGAGTGAAAAAAATGTCTGATGCGTCTCTTACGAACAGATTTTTGGACATACTTTCAGTACTACGACTAATCCTCTTAATTTATCTCTACCCATAAAATAAGTCTTCAAACAACAATAGCTTCTAAAAAGTAAATATAAAAGTTACAATTTGATATTGTTGTTTAGATTGGATAAATATTGAATCTTATTGTACTAAAACCTGCACCGAAATAACCTACTGTCGATAAATTCCAAAATAAATTCAAGTTAACACTTTAGTTTTTTTTTTCAATAGTCGCTGTATCCTTTTAAGTGCCTGATAAAAGAACAATTTTGAACGCTAACTACTCGATAATTTTATTGGCTCCCGAATGAATCTATTTTTCTAAGCGTAAGGCTTATATGTATGTCAAAAGATATAATTTTTTTAAGACACACCTTCGTAGTGAGGCAAAATAAAATTAAAAATGGCTACTATTCCTAGGGCGTTCGAGATGGACCGCCAATTTTAGGTCCCTTTCGTAATGAAATGAACCACAGAATGTAACCATAAATTCTTTGAAGTTGCTAACAAAATAGCCTGTATATACTTAGGCATACATATGATAGTACGAACAATAATGTGGAAACCTTTGCTTTTCGTCCATATTTGGTAATGCTGACAAACGGCACCAGCGCAATGGTTAAGAAAATGCCACAGAATATCCCCGCCAATAGTCCTGCAAAGTTCAATTGCCAGGGAAGTGTACCGATTCCGAAGAGCAGAGCTGCCGTGCATATCAGTTTGAAAAGCGCAATATGTGGCTTACGCAAATGCTTCCAGTGAATTAGTATGAGTATTACAACTAGCGAGGCTATTACACCGGAAAGCGATGCCAACGGCCCAACCTGTTCAAAATAAATGTAGAAATATAAAGAATACGTAAGGACTGTTTTAATAAAAAAAATTAAAATTACATTGCTATTAAACTTACCTCCGGCTTATATGGCACTAATACAGCGCTGGTCAAGTTGCCCGCCAAACCCGAGCCGATATATACAATAGCTGTGCGTATTGGCCCAATTAAACGCTCCAAATCGGCTAGAAAGACGTGTTGAAAGGCAATAGTAATGGCCAAATGTAGAATTCCGGCATGCAAACAAAGCGATGTGAATAGACGATAAAATTGATCAGGCACCTCAACAGAGAAGAAAGGCAGCATGCCGCAGACGTAATTCAGGCAGGAAATCTGAAAAATTTTTGGTTTTACTAATATTACCATTAACGTTTATAGATAATGAGATTTCCGACCAAAATTGACTGAATTTTATCCCTTTGGTGGGCTGGCCAGATTAAAATGTATTTAGTCGGTTGAATATATTTTCAGAAAAGTTGAAGAAGAACTTTACACCATTCCACATTAGGTCAAATGATACATTTGGCTGTGCGAAAGTCCAATTTCGTAAAGGCAGTTTTACATTATTTTTTGCTGCCATTCTGTAGAGAATACTCCAAAATAACAGAAACTTCACTTAGTTTTTGTAAAATAAAAAACACCGTTATACAGCAATAAACCAAAGTTACACTTTCAAAACGTTATTGATACGTTGTTTGCGCAACCGGTTTATTTTGTAAATTTCAAGTGCATTGTTTTTGTAAAGTTCGAATAACTAAAGGAAAATTTTAAATGGGGAAAAAACTATATCTATGTGAGAACCTATGTCCCAATTAAAAAAAGTGACTTTTTATCATTTGTTTGCAAAAAACTGACTTATTTGCATAACCTCAAAAATTTTTCTGATTTATTTCAATTTATGATTTTATGTAAGCTTTTACAATTTTGTTAACTTTCGGCAAACAAAATGGAATCGGAAATGGATAAATTAAGATGTAATGAGTTCAATTTATGTTACTTAATTTGCCGTTTTTAGCCGTTTTCATGAAAAAAGGTTTTTTGTGGGCTATCATGCTATCACAAAAGGCAAGTTGTTTGAAGTTTGGCTGATTGGATTGGAAAAGCCTTTTTCGGTTGTCAACCATGTTGAAAAAAAATTTGGTGCTGCTGATATTTGCGAAAGTTCCATGAAACTCTAAGAAGAAAAAAACGCGTATTTTTTGCAATTATTTATCAAATAAATATGAAAATTATGGGAAACAATTTGGAAAGGATGCTAAAATATTTATATCTGAAAACATTGCGTTTCTTGCTGATGAGGTTCTTTTCGAAATCAAAAAGCCAACTGTGTCGACCATCAGCCGGATTCTAACTTTCGCCATCGCTAAAGTGCTAAAATAGGATAGCCCACCTTTTTCCGAACTTTTAGCTATCTCCAAAAATATCTCCAACATTTTTTGGTGATAAATAATCCATTTTAATGGTGATAAATAGTGAAAATGGAAGTATGTGATACCAAAAAAAAAAAATAGCAGCCTCAATTTGCATTACATTTCATCTCCTGTAGCGTAGCTATGTTACAAATACACTAGCGCCTTCGCAAAAAGGCAAATCCTTGAGAGAACTCACGGACTGAAATTTCCAATTTTTTTTACTCAAAGTGAATAGAGCTTTGAACATTCTTTTAACAAATTAGTTATATAAACATTCGTATTCTTTTCAGGAAGTTACCAGCGATTTTCGGTAAATGTGTCACAAAGCAGCATTTGTATTCTGAATATAAATAGATAATATCGGTGGAGAATTTGGAAATACTGAAACCTCAAGTGAAAATGAAGTGATTTATGAAGACAAACTGCTTTAGGAATCTCTCCTCAAGACATATCTGCGAGACATGTAGTAAATATTTTTCTTTTTTTAATTTAGGAATTTCGATAATGCCATAACTAATCGCTAGAAGAAACCATTTATGTACATGTGACCATACTTATTTTATTATATAGCTCATTTTAAAGAGGAGCGGGTTGTGTATGATAAGAAAATAACTTGTGTCAAAACCAAGCTAATTGGACAATGTTTTTGAGTAATACCTAAAACATATACTCATCATTTGAACATACAAAAAAGCAGTAAGTTCTGTTTTACGAAAGCCAAGTCTGTTTAACATTTTATTTACTGCCTTTACACTTGTTTTAACGTTTTCCATCTTTTTACATTAAAATAATGCAATATTTTAGCTGCTATTAATTTCGCACAGAAAAAGTAATCATTTGACCTAATGTGCATTCCCAAGATAGCCGGTGCTACGAATCGAAAATTATTATAAAATATACGTCAACTTTAAGCCACACCCACAACCCGCTCCGTGGTTGTTTATAAATTCTGCTGAACTATAGACAAGTGTTCTCCAGGCTAAGAATTTTGATACCGGATCCACCGAGACAAACATCAATATTTTTTTTTTTTGAGAGCCCGATATATAACTCCCTGTGACAATTACTTCCAGGCTAGGAAAACAATGTAGATAGAACATTTCGGTGGACCTCCATATTTCAGGGGTAAATTGCTCAAAACTGGGTAAATATGGCTAATAAATTAAACGTGGAAGAGCATCTAAACGTAAAAAGTCTGCAGAAGTTTGTGGTCTTACTGCCTAAATCGGACTTCAATAGTAAGTAAACTGGACAAGAAGGACTTGTCTAGATTTGCTGCGGTTTTCACAGGCCATTGGACCATAAGCACTCTCGCGACTAGGATGGGACTGGACTAAAACGTTACCTGACCCTGCCACTAGACAAGTTTTCTCCGTACAAAGTTCCGATCAAAACTGATGAAAACCGACCAAATTCCGTATGCAAGGTTCCCTCCACTTTGTGTGACAATATCAAGGTGCACGCCACAAACTGGAGGAGAAGCGCGGCCAAACACTAACATATGTGTAAGCGCCAATCTATTATTATTACTTTCAATCCAGCTCTTATAATTTATTAAACACAAATCAAAAGTTAGTCGTCACTCGTGTTAAAATTTCGGCAAAAGGGAGACTGAGCAGTGCTGATTTATTGAAATGTATGCGAAAGTTCTTAAAATAATTAATTTTTTAGGATATCATTAGAAATTAAATGGATTGTAGTTTGCGAAATGAAATTACAAGGAAATTTAGAGAGATTTGGAAAATAAATGGAATTATGGTAATTTCGGAAGCGCTCCTTTAATTCTAGTCTAGGGATGCCAAGGGTAATGAGTATAGTATTTTACAATATTTTCGATATATTTTAATATATTTATAACAACTTTTTCGCTTTCATGAATCTTCCAAGGATTATTATTATTACTATTATTATTATTATTATTAGTATTATTATTATTATTATTTATTTTTTTTTTTTTTCTTTTTTTAGGTGAGGGAAATGCTTTATGCACTGGCCGGGGGCGCTAGTCTCTATACTA